GTATGGACCTCGGAATTTTTTGTCCGAGCTAGTCAAGTGTTACCCGAATTCCCCATTGTTCACATTGGCGAAAGCATCGAGATTGCTCGTCAGCACTTCTTTAACGTAAATGGTTATAATATGGACTTTACATGCGTTCTTGAGGATGTCTCTGGATTTGCGGATGAACTGAAGATTCTAGGTAAAAAGTTGTTTGTCTGGACAGTAAACAAGGAAAGTGATATGAAAAAAGTGATGAGGCATGGTGTGGATGCTGTGTTGACCGATGACCCGGTAAAATGTATTAACGTCCGTAGAAAACTTAAGAAAATTAAATCCTTCGATTATGTTTACGACCAAGCGAGGGATCATGAATAGTACTTACAATATTCCTGTTCATTCAATTATCCTTTGCACGCATCATAATCTGTACATTAGCTTTTAAGTTATTATTTATAACGGTTATTATTACCAAAGTGTAACCATATAGTGTAAATTAAAATTATCGAGGGCACAAATTGTTATAAAGAATATTTGCCTAAGTATGTATTTTACATGATTAAAAAAAATTTTTCAAATTTACATATAATAATCGACTTAAAGCTATAATATTGGTGGCAGTTTCAGTATAGCAATCTAGCAATCTAGCAAATGAAGAATCATCATCATTCATATTCAACTTAATGAGAGAAAAAAATAATATTTATGCTGAGTATACTGCATATACTGTGTATATTTAAGGATTCTATTAAATTTATTATTTTACAAAAAAAAAAAAATCAAAGCCAATTGATTGTTGAAAAAATTAAGTACCATTATTTTTCAAATTATCCAGAAAAAAAAAATAAATAAATTCACTTGAAATGATTTCAAATAATTGATCTAAATAGGTTTAAATTTATTATTTGGAAAGATTTGTTTTTTTTTTAAAAAAAATATATATATTATTATTATCTTACTAATACAATTTTATAATTTTTATAGGAAAAGTTAAAATTTGTTAATTTAAATATACAATGCATTTCATAAAGTCTATCAAAGAAATTTTGATTTAATATTTATATAATAATCATTATATACATTTTTTTTTTTTAAAAAAAAAATTATTATATACAGTAATTGTTTATTTTAAAAAAACTTTTATTAGATCATAATAAAATAAATTTTATCAGGAACAATTGCTTATTTTTTAAAAAATTGGAATCAATCCATTTTTTTTTATGGTATCATGATTAATCATTTGAAAAAAAAAAATAGATAAATTGCTATTTGTTTGCTTCTCTGTTTATTTTATTAAAAGTTATTCTTAAGTAATAATAATAATAATAAATTTTTTTAAAAAAATAGAAATTAATTTGTAAAACTTCATCTCCATGTTGTTATATATTGCATGTATCTTTAAAGAGAAGAATAATACAATAATAAAATCACATTTTACCAATAATACAATAATAAAAAATGTTTATTTCTCCATTATAATTTAAACGGTTGCAAATTTACTATATTGTAATGGCTGTTGTGCTAATATGAAATTCGTAATGGCTGGGCAAGCTGAAATTTACTTGTAACATAAATTCATAATGGCCTGTTGAAATTTTATAAATACTGGAATTTTATTTTTGAAACCTTGATGGAGATACTTTTGTAAATGATCTATATGGGACAACAAAGTATGTAAACGTTCGATTAAAATAAAACTGGAATGCGAAAAAATAAACCAATTAAAGTATTGGGGATTTTTTTTTTCTAACGTGTGGAAATAATGATAATCTTATTGAGTGAAAAGAATCTAAATTGTATCTGATGAATGCGCAAATAATATCGGTTTTGTAAGTTATAATGAAAAACGGATGAGCTAATCGGTCATGAAAGATCTATGTGAAAAAAATGGAAATGGTGTGGTAGATAAAGAGGAATCAATAGATGCAAAGATACAGGATAAATAACCATGATAAAATGTGTGTGATCGGCGAAATATGCAACTTACTCTGCTTCCAATTAGCC